CGCCTTTTTATATCCCTGATTCTGATTAGTAAATAAGCATACAGCCTACAAACCAATGAACTATAGTTCCTAATCTCTTTTGGGTCATAGTCCCCTTTGAGAATCTGACAAAAGCTACGAACTGTCTTGAGAAAAGGCCCTTTTGTCCACAGGCATAAAATTTTGTTTAAATGTACGGTAAGTTTATATACCGACTCAAGTTCATCTATAGACTACCTGTGGTTACGAATCTCTACAGTATGACAGCTTTCAGCATGTTTGAGAACAATCTTTATACATGCAGGTTTTGTTGTTAACATCTAACTTTTAACAACATTAATATGTTACTGACTAGCCCAGGTTTTTGTGGTCTTCTGCTTGCAACTATAGAAAAATCCAAGTACTCTTCTCCCTAATGTGGCAAGAAATGAGAATGACTTTTGTTAATGTTAGCTTCTACATTTTCACACAGGATTTTCTCAAAACCACCTTTCTAATGAATTCACATGTTTCTTTGTCAAACATTTGCATCTTCTCTGCCTTTTGTGGGCTCAGCCAAATGAGTGAAGGACAAATAACATTCTATTGACTGTAAAATACCATTGATTGTAAGATGCATCTTGATTTTGATGGTACAAAGAGTCATTTACTAATACCTATTCCTCAACTATTCAACAAATATTTTTGACTGCATCCCACGTGCTAGGTCTCATACTGAGTCCTGGGATTACAAACAGAAACAAAGTTTATAAAGGGAAGACTTAAATAGTAAATCTTTGCTGTTCTCCTTTTGAAATAATTCTAAGAGAATTCAGGGAAATAAACAACATCTTGTCTTTTTCATACAACTTTATAGGATCCTTGTATATTTAGGAGTTCATTCCCCAATTTATACCTGAAATAATGCTGCTCGAATGACTATGTTTCTCTTTGTCTTTGGTGACTTTTATTAAGTTTTATTACTCCAGCTTGCCTCTTGTGGTATATATTCATTTTTTTTCTTTTCCTTTGATATTTTTAAAAAACATGTTTATTTCTCATCGCAGGAG